GAAAACAGCGTTTCAATAGCTCTTACGGTTTTCCTACAAATACACTTTGTTCAGCTGCTCCTACTGTCCTTTAAGCTCTGCTTCACAGATCATCAAAGAAAGTGTGCACGTGTGTAATGAGCGCATATTGAATGTTAATTATGTTAAATATGTTGATTATTAGAAGAAAAAACAACAACAGTCCTTTTGGACAAAATTTCTTTTTATTACAGAATTAGAATAATGGAAGCATAGTCCAAGGAAACCATTCAAGTGATGTCATACCTCATAATTTATTAAGATGTTGGCTAGTCTGGGCATTTCTTCATTCATCAGGTTTCCTGCATGCTTACTAACAGAGCACATCAGTAGCAGTGAGTGATAAGTATGAGTGTGTCATTGTGTAAGAAAAGAAAGTGGTTTACTTACACATCCATAGAAAATAGGTGGTTGAGCACAGCACGCAAACAAAGCTTTGCCACGACGGTGGAACTTCCCAAGTAGCCGATACCAAGGTCACACAATCATGGTGAGCAAAGGTCAAACCAGGCCAGGCACTCACAAGGCTGGCTGTGACAAGTGTAAGTGAAAGCAACACGCAATGGCAGGAAGAACAGCAAACGCCGATGAAGGAAAAGGGTCTTTGTAGTGATGGGCGTTACCAGAGAGGGCAATGGCCAGAGGATGCGAATGGGACGGGGAGGCGATCGCGTTGGGGGGGGGGGGGGGGGCGCGACGCGGCTCGGGCCCGCCAGTGCCCCAACGGGGCCCTAGTTTCTTTTTAGGTCTGTTTTTTTTTTGACTTGTTGCTTCTCAGTACGGTCAATTTTTGGGTGATTTGTTTCGTTCCTTTTTGGTTTTGGTCCTTTTTTTTTGCTTTAATTTTGGTGTCATGACTTGGTCTTTTTATATTTTTACATCTTGGTGTTTTGCTTTCCTTTGTGGTTGGTTTCTGTTTTTTTTTTAAGGTGATTTTGTGTTTTTTTTTTTCTTTTTTGCCTCTCTTTGTGCTTCATTGCTTTTCTTCATGATTAAACGCTTTTTGGTTTTGGTCATTTTTATTTTGTCTTTGGTGATACTGCTTCTCTTTGTGGTTATTTTTTTGTTTGTATTGTTTTGGTTTTTCTTTAACTTGTGTTTTTGGTTTTTATCTCGTGGTGATTTCTTGTTTTCACCTTTATTTTTTATGTTTCTTTATGTCCCTTCTGCTTTCTTTTTAAATGAATTTCATTTGTTTTTATCGTTTTTTTTTAGCTTGGTATTTTTTGACTGGTTGCTTCTCAGTACGGTCAATTTTTTGGGTTATTTGTTTCTTTTCTTTCTGGTTTTGTCCCTTTTTTGCTTTAATTTTGGTGTCACGACATGGTCTCTTTATAATTTCCTTTCATTCTTTTCATATTTATGCCTCTTTGAGTGGTACGGCTTAGCTAATTGTGAATATTTTGGTTCCCTTTGTGGATATTTCCCCCCCCTTTTTAGCTTTGCAGGTTTTGCACATTTGCTTTCAGTCTATTTGTAGCCATTAGATTGAACATCTGAACCTTCCTTTAGTCTGTAATAATCCACCACCTCCTGACTGGAAGAGGCTCCTATCTGAGAACCTTAAGCCTTTCGGTCGCACAGATCCGTTTTCTGCTCTCTGTGTTTAATTCAGGACACATTTCATATAAAGCAGATGAATCAGCGGGATACTGTCAATCAGAGTGAGTGACGAATAGAGTTATGTAACACCTCGATCATCAGCTGCTGTTTGTTTAGCAGAGGAATCACAGGAAATAACCTCCACGTGAGGAAATATGTTTGAAAGTCACACATGTATCTCAATGTTTAAGGTTGAGCAACATTTGTGAGAAGGTGTTAGTCGAGGAATAACCAAACCGTGAATGAGGGGTAAAAACTCCCTCATTGCTGAACTTTATCCTCTCCCGTTCTGTCTGATCTGTATCAACAGCTCTACGGAGAGTGAAGCCTGCGAGGGAAACGTTTAAGGGGAAACTACCAGATTCCATTAAGATTGGCGGCCTCCAAACCGCACCCCCGATGCCTTTATTACATGAATGGGATGAAGTGCTCTTTACACACAATAACTTTTCCATTTGAGAGTGTTACGAAGGGAAAAAAAAGCGGTGTTTAGTTTTTTTCTTTTTTATCAAGGTTTGAAAAGCGACGAGGAATGAAAGCAGGAGAGACTGAATGATGTTTGAATGTCAGGTTACAAGATTTAGAGAAATAGTGACGTAAATTTAATGAATTATAAACAAGTGAATGACAAGATATCATGTTAAATAATGCTGCTGTGAGTAATTAGTGTTGTCGGGCAGAAAAGTAGATCATAATTAAGCTAAATTTTGACGCATTGACTACAAATATCTTCAGCGCCATGCTAGCACAGTTATAAACGCTAGTTAGATGCTTTTCTTCAGGAGGTTAGGAGTCTTAAAGTGTCCAGATCTGTTATACATGCATTCATTTTGCATTGTAAAGCCTACAGGCTAACATGCTCTCCCAGATACTTGCAGCGTTTGTGTGCATTACAGCCGTGCGGTTATATATTTCAGCTTCTGTTGACAGTAAGCTGGAAAAGTGAGAGTCTGACCTCTAACCACAGCCTCAGGCGTCTGTCTGAGCGTATCTCTGCAACACCGTTACTGTCCTTTAGCGAGACAACGAGTGCCTCTGAGCCGACCGTGACCTTTGACGCCCCTGTGGAGGCACGGACATGGAGGATCTCTCACTCTTTCCATCGCTGGAGAAATAAAAGTATCACACTCAAATTAGCTTTGCAGAGTGAACTGCTTCTGCGGAGAGGTGATGTGAGATCTGTGGAAGCAGATGATGCAACTCATACAAATACTCGTACCTGAAGTATGAAAGAGAGTCGAATATTGTCAGAGTTTGCTTAGAGTTGGAGTTTAAAGCGAATCGGCCAGACTGTGCCAGACTGTAGTTAAAAATGGATCCCTGCCTTTGTATGAAGAGCTCTGCCTGCAAGGTTCGACTCAGGGCAAAGAGGTAGTTTTTGAACGAGGTAGAAGTCCAAGGCTGGGGTCAGATATCCAAACACACCAATATCTTTTCCTAACAGCTCTCCTATTTGCCAAACATCTTCCTTCTCCTAAACACTGGTTTCCTTAATCCTGAACACTTTTCCTTTTTTCCTAAGCACTTGTTTCCTTACATCTTAGCATTAGCATCTTGACAAAAACCTTTCGTTTAGCATTTTTATCTCACTCAACCACTCTTAAAACGGACACAAAGCCAAGACCGTGTCATGTTTTGTGTCCGTTTTCTTCAATTTGATTGATGTCCTTCAGACTCAGCTCCTCTTGCGAATTCCTGCTCTTTTGCCTCTTCTCATTATCCTTTCTTTGCCCTTGACTTGTCAGCCATTAACCATGAATCTGAAGTTTGTTCCGTCCAAATAAATCAAGATTTACTCAGAGGCGTTCTGGCCAATCACGATCAAGCAGGTTAGTATAAAAGCCAAACGAAGGACTTGTAGATCAGAAGTACTTTGGTGAAAACTACCTGGTAGAAAGAAAATTTCTCTGTGTCATAAAACAACCCAGGCTGTTACACACTCCTCTTTGAAATCCCATTTACACCTCGCCCACAGCTTGTGAAAAGTCTCAGCGTGTTCCTCACAGCTCCTGCAGCTCCAAGTTTTTCTCCGAAACTTTGGGTTTATGCTCTCTGTCCGGAGCCAAAAAAGGATTTGGTCGCACACATTTTGGATTCGATTTGTAGTCGCCGGATTAGATTAATTCAAAGCAGTACCAGCGGGATTAACTTTTTAAAGCCCGTTCTACTGCACAGACAAAATAACAAAACCAGTAAAAAGTCCAATCCAAACACGAGATTGTCTTTCATGATAATTCTCCGTTTGGACTCGTCTTGGTCTGCTTCGCGGTGCTGGCCGCCGTCTTCAGATGTGTGTTTTGGCTCCGGCTCGTGGCGTCACAAAGAGAACCGCTTGGCAAGGTTTGGCCGACTCTCAGGCACCAGCTGGCCGCTTACAAGACTTGGCCGGGAGAGCTGATAATGGGAGTCGACTTCACAGATCACAACACGGGGAGTCCGAGTCTGGCAGATACTTGTTTGTCGCCCAACAAATTTTACATTTAACAGTCTGAATATATCATCTGTGGAGACTAACCTTGGTATATATTACAAAATGAAATGATGGAAATTGAGATAGGAACTCTAATAGTCAGCGACTGGAACAGAAATTAAATTCTTAGTAGGATCTTTATTTAAACAGAATCCTTGATCAATTTGCGGGAATTTACTTCAAGCAGCCCCAGTATGCTACCAGTAATTCCAACCCCCAGGTGTCCAAATCCTTTATTCGTATTAGTCCACTTTAACTGATTAATTTTATTGGCCAATCTGTGAAATAACACGCCAATACAGATAATGAGCCAAATGCTGAAAATCAGCCTCAGTATTTTTGGCCTTTATTGTCTGTCTCTAGAAAATGGGACACCCCAGTCTCTAAGTAAAACTATCAGGGCTCTGCCAACTTAAATCAAATGACTTGATTGTGCAAAGACGTCACCACCTGCATTCAGCCAGACAGCAAATGTCTCCAAAGTGATTCTTCTTTAATTGCTCCTGGAAGCCCACTATACTGCAGATTTCCTTGGGACCAGGGATGGACTTTGTATTCTTTGGTCTCGGGCCATAAAAATCTGAGAGTGGTGGTAGGCTGGCAGCAAAAGGTTGTGGCAGGGAGTCAAACCAGGGACCAATATTGTATGTTGTACCTGTATATCAGGCCTGCTCACACAAGGAAGTGCGGTCCAGAAAATCGACCTGTACCTCTGAATTTCATCTGGTATTTAAAGCGAGTGACTTTTCGTTGGTGTCAACTTTGGCGCCCCCTGTGAACAAAACAGTCCTCGTTGTGTCTTCTGCCAAAAATTGCATCCTGCTGACTTTTAATGACCATATTTATTATTTATTGTTGTGAAAACAGTCAAGGTCCTTACACACCGGGAACAACGCAAATATACGATGCAAAGTTACAAAATATTCTGAGGCGAATTTTGACGCACCTGACTATACACATCAAGCGTGATGCGATTTTGCGACTTTCCGGGGGGAAAAAAGACGTGTCCTGGGTGGAGGCGAGAAGACTGACACAACAGCAGACTGAGTGTTTTTCAGTTCTGATTAGACTCTAGTGTTGAGATGTCTGTCTGTCATGATAGCATGTACTGAGTCGGGGTCAGTACCAGATAAGAACATTAAACTATAATCCATGAACGTAAGGTAACAACAGAGACCTAATGGTGCTGTGACAGAAAATACAAATGGTATGTTGTATCTGAACAGGTTAGCTTACGAGCTAAAGTTACTTAGCACAGATGAAAGTTAAAACAAAGATGTTTATTAAACTGTTAAAGCACACAAACCATCGTCATATGAGAAATCCGACGCTATGACTCTCCACAAGTCGTCCTTCAGGTCGTTATCTTTGTAATATTTGTGTTTTTTATCAAAAATCACTCTGTTCTCCGACACGTAAACAATCAGCCGGTCGGCCATGTTGGATATACCGGTGAATCTGACGTAGCAACAGCATGAAATCTGATTGGTCAGAAGCAGACACACAGTAGGCGAAACTTTAGAAAATTCGACCGTGAAAAATAAATGCCGCAATATCGCAGGACGGAAAAACGTCGCTGATTTGAACGCTTGTATTGACAGGATACGGGTTCGAAAAAAAAAATTTGACGTACGAAATAATCGCACGAAAAAAACGCTGCCGGTGTGTAGAGACCTTTACTCGGCTGACACCCACCCACTCGCGCCCATATCAGAAATCAAAAAACCACAACATAGAAATTGTTCATCTTGTTGCTGATGATCTGGTTTGCTTTTGTATATCATTAAAAAGCAACAGTATGTATTTCATCTGTTTTGATAGATGTCTAAAAAGTCCTCACACTACAATACAAGGATTTAATTAATCCCTAAGGGCTAGTTCGTTATATCTTTGGTACAAAGCCAATAAATGACAAACATGCTCTTATTAACCTGGATAAGTCGTGTATTAATTGGTTGTAGGAAGTTACACACAGTTACGTGGTTTTATGCACGCCCACCATCCACGTTGTGCTTCTTTTAGTGCAAAAATATAACCTGGCAGAAGATTCATTTCTCAGCAGTGTACGAGAGGGAGCAAATTACTAGCAAATAAACGTAATTACCATGAGACAAGTTTGGTGTACGAGTGGATTAATGACGAGAATTGTGAAACACTTTGTTCTATTTAGGTAGAAATCGCAATATAAGTGCCTCAATTTACCGTGCATCCAAAGACAGGGGGGATGCTGCTGCTGCTGCCGCTGCTGCACCCCGGCACAAGAAAAAGTACCTTTTAGTGAATCCTGCATAATGAGGACAAAGCTGCAACAACAGAGCCGTGCAACTTCGCTGCAGAGTGAGAGTTCTGACAAAGAGTTTTGATGAGTTACAGGTGGAGGTGGATGGCTGATCCTGAGAGTCCTCACCTGCCCCGGAGCAAGACATCAGAGGATGAGTGGTGACAGCGTTACGCAGCATGTAGGAGGAAGAGCACTATCAGGGTTCAGCTCTGGTAAACATCTCAAATCCCTCCCTTGTTTTGTTTCTTCCTCTCATTTCATTTCATGCGGCAAACCGAGGAGTACATATTTGCTTTTACATGCTCAGGGCGAGTTACATAATCTATAGGGAGAACTTCTGCCTCTTTGTGTGAGTTTGAATAAAAGCCATTTATTATGCACACTGCTTTGTGAATCACAAACAGCCATCCTAAGCTGTGATATTAGATTTGGATAAAGTTGCTTCCCCAGCCGTTTTTGAATGCCGTGTCGCTTAAATCATTACCTGATTTTCAGTCACTCAAAGGCAGAAAATGCGCCGTCTCTCTCTCTCTCCACGGTCTCCCATTGTGGTTGCCTTTTCTTTTTTATTCCAGCTCAGCCCGGCTGCGAATCAAAAACACAATATGAACACATTTTGGTTATTTAATATCAGACATCAACCTTATTAAAATAAAAATTGGATTTGAACATGAAAGAAGCAGCAACGTTCAAAATCAATTAGTCTTATTCCAGACAATTATGACAGCCGGGGCTGATAATTCGGTTTGTATTAAGAGTTTGATGCAACATTCGGCTCATTTAGCTCGACAATCTTCACAACACTGATCACAAAGGTTTGGGTGATGAGTTGAAGAACAAATGAAAAGTAACGTTAGGACAAATAAAACCACGAAGTGCTACTCACAGCTCAGTACATTCATTGAGCAGATTTCTGTTGATGTCCCAGCACGGTCTTTGCTTAGGCCTTATTTATATCTGCTAATAACACCTGAAGTGGGCGACCGGATCACAAGTGTGCACCTTCATCATCATCGTAAGTAGGCACTCAAGGTTGAAGATGACTATCCTGTGCTTTTACTGGTCTTCAAGTGGCCAAGGTTGCAAACCCTGGGGTCGATTCTTCTTGCAATCACTCACCCAATCCTTGTTTGTGAAGTGAGGTGGGGTCTGCAAGTACCGACCTATCTACAGCCAGCCGCTAGATTAGTTTGTGGGCACTCAGATCCATGACCAGCAGAACCCAGGTACATTTTTTATGCCAACAATGACCTCCTGGTGGTGGAGGTCATTGTTGGGGCAGCACCTTAAGGGTCTCTAAGGGTTGCTTTGGTCCACCAGGTGTCGAAGTCAGTCTCTGCATTTCGTTGGCCTCCCACTTCAAGTTTTCTTGCAAGCAGATGTAAATCCGGGACTAATGCTGCGTTCGATGGAAGTCAGAAATCTGAGCTGGGAATGACGTCACACCCAAGTTACCAGCATTTCAGTTACCAAGTCGAAATTTATTTTAAGCAAAGACAAGGCAAGAGCTGAAGTAACTTTCGTAGATGTAGCCATCTTGTCTACGCCTCCGATTTTGCTTCCCTCCAACTTGGCGCTGGTAACTCAGGTGTGACGTCATTCTCAGCTCGGACATCCGACTTCTGAGGTAACTCGAACGCAGCATTATTACCTCCGCCAAGGAGGTTATGTTTTCGGTAGCGTTTGTCTGTTAGCAACTTCACGAAGAAAGTTACAGACGGATTGACCTGAAATTTTCACCAGAGGTGCGTCTCAGCCCCAGGAGGATCCCGTTACATTTTCGTGGTGATCTTGACAAAATTTGGGTACTGTGATCCAGAACACACAAAAATAAGGGTGTCGTTGGAATTTTCAATGCTGAAAGATAACCAATGGGCGGCACAGTGGTGTAGATAGGCGGTACAGTGGTGTAGTGGTTAGCACTGTCGCCTCACAACCAGAAGGTCCTGGGTCAGGGCATTTCTTGTTTAAGGGGGGACATGAGCTGCTTGGCGGAGGTCTGCGCTCTCCCAGTGCTTTTCTATTTCAGGGAGATGATGCTAGCTTGAATTAGGAATCTCATCTTGACAGCTAAATTTAAGTATCGTCTTAAACTGAGCCCCAAGTATTGTTCAAGGTCCAGGTCTCTTATCAGTAAGTTTGGACAGGATAGCAGCTTTGTAGAGGAGGATTTTGGTCCTCAGTTTACTGTTTTCAAACACCCTTTTCCTCATCTCAAAAACACCCCTCTAACACAGCTGAGTCATCGGTGTAGCTCATCATCAACACTTACTTTTGAGGGTAAGAAACTGCCAAAATATAGGAGGTGGTCCATGTTTTCCAGTCTAGTGCTGTCAACTGTGAATGCTGGGAACAGGCCTGGAGTATTAGTGCCAGTCTCTTTCTGTCGAGAGAGCTGCAAGTCTTCACACTTGAGAGGCTCGAAACAGCGACTGCCAAGCATTTTTTGGATTGAAAAAGAGTGAAACAATCTTAAAACTGTATTCAACTTAAAAACTTAGTGTTTCTGTATACAGCCAAGGCCCTGATAAGACAGAAACATAACCTCAGAGTCTGTTTAGTCCCCTAATCTGCCTTCTTTTCATGCAAAATGTTGCACGTTTCTGCCCTGATGAAGTATGTATTCATGCATTTCCTTCATTTCCATAACATCACGCCGAGTTTTCCCTCCAAATCTGGCACAGGCACACACTTGCAAACAGCTCTTGTTTTATGTTAATAGAGCTCATTACTTTGCATTGATTGGTAGAATAGTTCCAAAACTGCAGAATGCAAGCGCGCTTTTCTTCTCGAGTGGTTTATTAGGCGGTGATTCATCCTGACTTTACAATAAGCCACGTGATGATTTCACTCACTAATCTGGAGCATTAGCTGCAAACAGAGCTCTGTGTTTTCCCTAAAATAAGCACGCCGCTATTCATGAATGAAAATGTACAGTAAATGGAACAACAGATGGAAACTAGGGGAAAGTAATCCACCGGTACAAAGCAATGATGCGATGAGGCAGCTCTTTGTGTAAATCAGATATATCCCAGAGTTCGCATTTATATCAAAAGCAACGTTCTACTTTATTTGAGTTAAGGAAAAACAGAAGGAGGTGTTGACACTTTGTTTCAGGCGTTAATGAAGCACAAATCCACCTGAAAGACTTCAGCTCTTAGCTCGACGTAGACTGAATATAAAGAACATTGCCTTCTATACTCTGTGATTTCTCAAACTAAACAGTGAGCTATAAGCAGTTAAAACTTCTCAATAAACAGATGTTGAGTAGATGGATATTCTAAATTTTATATTGTGGACACATTTAACCAACTGGTGGCCACTTATTAGTATGTTGTTGCCACATATGACTATCTGGCGGTCACTGAAACTGTCTCGCTCTCTAGTAACCACATCTGGTGGACAAATGTTACATTCAAATAAAAACATAGCTGTCTTTTAGCCACATGTTACAATAAAGTGGCTACATACTATCTGATGGCTTCATAATACTATCTAAAAGACCCACTCCAATGAAAATCATGTTTTTCTTGTTTGTTTATATGTTCATATGGCATTTTTCTGACGCTACAGGACATATCATGAGAAAACTAAGTGAGAAATTGCTTTTCTGAGTATTCGTTCATTCAAATCGCTGTGAATCTCTGGCAGACCCAAACAGCAGGTTGAGAAACAGTGAGAATTCATAGGTAACCAATCCAAGCTCCGCCCCCAGAGCCCCGCTATGCAGGCCAGTCTCAGAGAAATAGAGATGACGATCGCGGAACGAGCGTGTGCGTTAGCGGATTGTAATGCTTGTAGGAAAGTTAATTCTGATATTAACTTTTATCATGTTCCCAAAGACATTAGAGTCCGAGAGCTGAAAAGCACCTATGTTACCTGCCACTTCTACCACACCGGCAATGTTAGGCTGCAAGCTAATGTGAACATGCAGCTAACGTGAGTAGCGCTGTCTCCGCCCACGGCTCAGAGGTGAATTGCTAATGATCGACTGGAGCTCTGCAGAAGAAAAGCTTTCGAAAATGACACAGGTAATGTGATTTTGACTAAAAACTTCATAATCACAGTTTAAAGATCACTGGTAACACTTTAAGTAGTAACAAAACGATTGGAGTGGGACTTTAAATTTGTGTATTATTATATGGTAGCTACATATAATCATCTACTAGCCATATTCTCCTCTGTTGTGGCCACATTTGTCTA